TAGGCCACCCTCCCATATCAACCAAGGACCAAGTGCCTTCCAAATACCTAGTCAGGTCTGGCAAACTGGCCACTGCTTTGCTTTCACGTATAGGATGCTCCCCCCCTCCCCCCCAACCGTGTTGGGTCCAGTAGATTTTGATAAAAAGACAAACGAAGCTATCAGCGGGGATGATGTTGAAGAATGAAGATAATAATGTTGCTATAGGTGGTACTTCACATGACATTATTTTGCACTGAATATTTAAAGAGCTCTTTGGGCAGAGATGGATCTACTCCGTGCCGGGGTCCGCCTCCTCCCTCGCGCACCCCGGGAAGAACCGAATCCGCCCGGACGGAAACTTCGCAGCTCCCCAGCGCCGCACACGCCCGCGCGGGCGGGCGCCCCGCACACGCGCCTCCACTTGCACGGCCCTCCCGCCTCTGCATTTCCAACTCCATCAGCTCCTCCGTCCGATCCCCGCTGCCCCTTCCCCTAACCCCTGCCTGAACATGATTCCCATTTCCCACTTCATTCCATATTTGTGGATTGAGGTGTTTTAGCATCAATTCCCCCCTATGCGCTGTGCAGTCAGTTTGGTACGTATCAAAGCCGGAACTTGTTCATTAAATAAAATAAAATAAAAACAATGGTTTGGAGAACGGCAAATTCTTCTGAAGAGATTCAGTTTGATAACTTTTATTTTTCGTTTCTCTGCTCCCCCGCCAGGATCAAAACCAAATATCCCAGGCTGTCTCTTAGGGTTTAATCGGAGCGCGGTTGATTATTTATTGTTTGTTTTCCTCCCCTTTGCTGGGGGCCGGAGGGGTGGGGGCGAGGGGGGAGCGCTGTTTGCGGGGAGAGAGAAGAATTGGTCTTTATTGTTGTTGATGGCAATACATCAATTACGCGTCATTGTCTCCAACACAAGTTGTGAGTATTCACAAACGTAAATACAGTGATCTTGTTTTTACACTGCTCCCCCCTTTTGAAGCTTCAGATGACAGTGACAGATTTTTCTCCCCCCGCCCCCGACATACCTTGGAGATTTCTTTCGGTGGCGTTATTATTATTTATTTATTTATTTATTTATTTTTTAGACGGGGGTGGTAGGATCTATAAAGTCCCTCAATGCAAATCCGAGCCTGGTTGGAAGACAAGCGTGGTGGGGGGAATCGATCTCCAGTTCATTGAGATGAGCACTGAAGAGAGATTGTAAACAGGGGATAATTTGCAGTTCATTCGGGTGAGAGACGATTTCAATGAGATGCAACACTCCAGACTGGATTATTGTTATTAAGGTTTGCGAGCAGACAGCCCAACCTTAGCACTCGGGGGTTAAAAGCTACACAATCCCCATATAGGTATGATGCGTCGTTAATAATGATTTGGGAGAAAATCCAATTGATTTCATATTTTCTGCAAATGTTCACCTCTGGTGCAGCTTTTAAGGCGGAATTTGCTTAGCTACAGATCGCTGTCTTCCCAGAGCTAACCCCGAACAATCAACCTCTAACCTGGGGAAATTGTTATTGTTGAACATTGTCTCTGCACCAAAATTAAAGCCGTTTAAAGGAAACGCCCTCGCGGGGTAATTAAAACATTCACATTTTCAGACTGCAAAATACCTACTTTTAAATGCTGCCTTGCTCTTGTTTGCCTTTATTATGATTTTTCCTAGGAAAGGTATTGTCCAAACCAGTTCTTAAATATTGCTACATTTGACCTCTGCACTGCTAATACCAAGCCGCTCTTCAGCTCGGACTGGCTACATGTATTTTAGAAATGTGTGCAATTAGGGGCTTCCAGATGCTGCAGTCAGATGGGAACTTGGCTTTGTGCTCCGATATCTAATAAACTTTTGAGACAGTCCTGGGGCGCAGCTATCCAGAGCAGCAAGGAACAACCAACTATCCGATGATTGTTTTATCATCAATAGCCTGCATCACGCTATTCAATATGGACCTTCCGAGCTCTGTGAGAGTGTGGGTTTAGGTATGACTACTTTGTGGGCAATGCTGTCAGACTATTCCCTCCCCCCCCCCTTTTTTTTTTTGATTTATTTTCTAATGATCTTTCCTTAGGAAAAAAAAAAAAGGGGAGCCAGAATTGAATCCTTCTCCATTATTACTGACAACTAATAATTGATCATTGCTCTCAAACACAAGCTTTTAGCCACATAATTGAATCGTAAGCAATACGGGTTGAGCTAAAGGCAAAAGAAAACAAACAAAAACAAAATAAAACCAAATCTAACAGCACCACAATGATGGGGGTTTTTTCCTCCCCGAAGATAAGAGAGGTGAAAATGACTAATGCCATAACGGGCCAAGGTGGAATTATTTAATTCAATTCTTTCTTTACACATTTGCTGCCTTTTGTTTGACCTGATGGCCAGCAAATTTTTACACATAGCTGTCCCTTTTGAGTTTATTGATGAAGGTGCTTCTGAAATGATTATCAAGAGATTTACAGCCATCACTCCCCACCTACGGGAGAAGTAGTAAAATCAATCCCTCAATCAATCAGACCCTCTGTGCATATCTTTTTAATCTGTTCTTTTAGCTGTTTTATTACAACACAAGCATTAAATATGTTTGTTTCAAATTTAACACAAATGCTTCTGAAGGACTCTGTCAATTTAGATATATAAATCACTAAGTAAACAAGCTAGATGGTGAAAAAGTGAGGAAAATAAAAATGCTTAGACTGTTTCACTCCTTCATCAGTAATGTTCAATTTAATTGCATATATGCATTTTCCTACCTTGAATTCAAAAAGAAACAAAGGAGAAATACATTTACAGGAATACAAATGAAATGTCAAAGGAGTTTCCTATATTTTTCTTTGGTATTTCTAAATTTTTGTATTAAAAATAATTGTGTCAATTAAAACACACCCCTCAATATCCTTCTATTATCTCTAGAATATCTATGTGCAATATTATGTCTTAATTTCTATGTTAGGAACAGAATCTTGGACTTTTTGGAATATAAATACATTTTTATTCAATCTTTAATTTTCACATTATTATGATTATTGATGGCAAAGGTGTGACTATATTCCCTTATACAATATATCTAAGGTTAATGAAATATTGTCTAACAAAGCTGTGATGAAGTAAAGGATATTTCAGGTAGTTAGTTTAGGTCCACAGTCATCCTGAAACAGTTTGTTATTCAGTGGTCACTGTATGTATGGACAGAATTAGTAGGGAGTCTATAGAGAACAAAATTTTCTTTGATGCCAGAAGGGATATTTTTTTCACAAGCCACATCCCCTTATATCTCAATTTAATTTGTGTATCAAAGCCACATAAAGCCACAATGTACCTCCAGCAGAAACACAGAAGTTCAGAAATGAAGTGACAGAATTCTCCAACCGTATATAAACTGGTTGAAAACCCACATTGGAAGTCAAAGACGTATTCAGCTTTCATGGGCTGTGTCACATCACAAAAGTAACTTTGTATGAAATAAAAAAGCATGACACAAATATGTACAGATCAAGAAAATAGCCATGAAATTAATCCTGATACTGGTTTATGAGGTGGCTATTAGCTAAGAGTGCCCCCAGACATCCTTCTTTAAAACAGTGCCTTCCTATTATGAGGAAACCTCCGTTTTTCAGAATGCATTCAACCTAGCCCCATAATGATGAAAGCCTTAGTTAGGATTTTCTTTTCTTTTTCTTAATAACCCCCCACCCTCTTAATCACAACTATTTAATAGAATACACCGAAAGTAAAAATATGTGAGAGCTAATCACAAGTGAAAAAAGATGGTTGAGGTAAGGGATATGGCATTCCATGCATGAGTGAGAAGAAAACTAGTTTTTTATGTTATTTTTTCCTTGGGGATTTGATTGCTTTTGAAACAAATTTCCCATATTTTCTCTAATCTGTCTAACTAAAAACACAAGGCCACAATTTTGGGTGGCAATTGCCCATTAATAGATGAGTTCCCATAAGCAAATCATCTAGCATAAGGTGAGACTTGTGACAAACTGATTGCTGTTCTTTTCCCTGCCAATTTCTGTTTACCAGGAGTTCACATTTACTATTTCCATTCTGATGCTGCATTTTAGTTTAGTGACTCTAGACATACTGTAGGATAAATGTCTCAAACATGAAGACAAGTCAACTGAGTTAGTTACAAAGTTCGTGACTGATGAAATAAACCTGACAACCTAACTCATTTTCCTAACACTTTTTAAGAAGTTGTATCAAATACAGTGCAAGTACTTTGTAAGTACATAAAATTTATTTGCATAATATTAAGGTGCAGTAACTTAATACTTGGTGTTTACAATGTGATAGTTGTGCTACTATTTGTATCAGCAAAAAAAGTTGGTTTAGTAGCAATAAAATAAATGTGAATAATGCTTTACTTTCCATCACTAAATTAAGTACAGCCTTCATGATCCAAATTATTCACTCAGCTCAGCCCAGTCCTGTCAATGATGTTGGCCTGGTGTGGCTCAGAGTAAAATTTGGACAGTTTTGTGTAAACATGGTCTCTTACGAATTTGCAAGATATTCCCTGTAGCACGCATGCAGGGCACAACTTGAGCAAGAGATGTGGAACCACCGGCTTTCCCATTCACAATTTTGCAGATGATCTCTCCTTTCATTCTTTATTATATGACATGCATCCAGCAACTACAGTAACTGCCTACATGGAAAAGTAACACTAGAAACTACAGAGCATAATTGTAGCTGTCTTTTGAAACAGTTCAGCAGCTGGAAACAAGGAAGAGTCAACACCACAGTGACTAACCAATGCTATACACACCATTCGGAATGACATTTAATACAACTAGAAATTATACAGTTACCAGAAGGATATTGAAATTCACCCTTCCCAGAAGAGAGCCCAAGCAACAAGACTATGCATGGAAGTCCTTCGGTCCATGTTCCATGTTTCAGGGGTGTTGGTTGTAGAATTGCCAACTCTCATGATTTTTGTCATTGTTCTTAAAGTCTGCACTTCAGGAATGTGAAAAACATAGCTCTTTCTTGTATAACTATAAAAATATGTACAAGACAGAGCTAAGTTTTTCACATGCCTGAAACGTAGACTTTAATAACAATGCCAAAAATCATGAGAGATGGCAATACTGTGGTTGTAGCCATATTCTACCCTACAGAAAACACCATCAGACTCTCCCTATGCTTGAAAAAGGGTCTGTGCCCAAAAGCTTGCAAATAATATTTTTCCAACTTTTCAGTTCATCTAACAGAACATACCATATTTACCCAAATAACCTTGTCTTTCTCAGAAGACAATGGAACTCACCTCCAACCCCTTAAAGGTGGGTTGTAGCCCTTCATATCCCCTATAGGGGACTTGAAACTACACACATGAATCAAGGAGCTCTTTTACAAGCCTTGCATTCACCTTTCTCCTCACCATGCATCGATGCCTTGACCCTCCTTACATTTAAATCCAAATTTTCTTTTTAAAAACTTGCTGGTCAGCATTTGGCCTAACAATTATGTTAGGTCTAACTGGTTCACCGTAATGTCACTGTGGGTTGATCAGGATCATCTGGGCCCAGTCCCAGCCTATCATTATGGCCCCAATAAGCTTTCTTACTTCCTGAGTAAGAACCTCAGGCATGATTCAAAATCCCCTGAGGTCAATGAAACTAATTCCTATTACTTCAGTGAGATTTGTACACATCTCAGGCTAGGCTTTAAGGCTTGAGTCTTCAAGCCTATGTATGCAATTCATAT